TCCATAAAATAGAGAAATGTAAGCAAGGGCTCCTGAAAGGGAAAAAAAACTATTAATATAAACTAATCCAAAGTTGCCCTGAATCGCAAAAAAGGGCTGCAGGCAGAAAGACAAGAACCCGACAAATATGAAACCTCAATGAACATATGAGATGTAATTCACATACACTACAGAATAATTTCCTAAAACGGATGATGGAGATGAGATGTCAGAGAAAAGATAAGGTGTGAAACTTGATGAGAAGGAACCAGGAACAAAGTCTGGAAGGACAATGTAAGAGATGAATCAGCCAATCAAAACAAAAGCTGAACCCATCAGTTGAAAATGGAGAAAAAGATCTGAACAGAGGATGTTATCTTGGGAAAAAGAAGTGGGAAAGGACACCATGGATGGAAACTGTGCAGGTAATACAACACTAAAGAGCATGTTCAGAATAGAGAAGGCTATCCAGATCAGGAAGAGGATGTGGTGGGAAATGGAATGAAGGGAAAAGCAACAAAAGGAAGACATACCCTCTCATACTGCAGAGATGTGAAGGAGGAAAGAATGATCCAGAAAAGAAGATATGTATGAAGATAAAGAGTACATGAAACATCGATGGCAAAGGCAAACAAATTCAACTGCTGACATCTCCCAGCCAATAGAAGGAAATAAGTTTGAAAGGAAAAATGAAACAAGGAACACGTGAAAAGTGGTTCAACTGGAGGCAAAAAAAGGCGAGGACTACCAGAACATCCCAGTCCAGAAGGGCTGCCCGCCATAGAGAACAGCTAATCTGGAAGGAACAGAACAACAGGGAGAGTGTAGGAGAGAAAATATGATGGTTTCAGGAAAAATGGTAGGTGTGGGAGAAAGATGCAAGATAACCAGAAATCAAGGCAAAAGAAGAACCCCCGATCAAAAAGCCTAGTAAGAATTCCACAATACCAGTAACAGTGGGCTGAACAGCTGCAAGTCCCCGGCCCAGAGACCAATGGCGAAAAATGTTCAATTGATGCAAATAAATTTCCATGGAGGAAAGGCTGATGGAATGGGCCAGAAGAGAAGTTACAAACTGGGAAAATCTGATCTCCGTGCCAATGACTGGATAAAAACCAAGCATGAAGAGGTAGGACAGGAAGAATGGGATGAAGCACCAATGACTGAGTTAGTCAAAGCAGGTAGAGATACAGTGAATGTATAGTGGAGGCGTAAGGTGGAATTGGAGAAGGCGTGGAAATCACCGACAGAGCTGACCAGTAAGGAGCAAGCAGAATGACCTGACATGACAAAGTATGGATAATCTAACTCACCAGGAGAAGAAGTCGAATGGGAGGAAAACATATAGGAAATTATCAGTCTAATCCTGACTGAAATAATCAACAGTCACGATAAGCAGATGAGGGACCGGAGACCAAAACAGAGGGAGTGTGTAGTTGAGGGATGTAGCTAATGCATCATTGTAAGAAATACATCACTGAAGAGACCACTCCATTGTATAGATGCTGTCTAGATGGCAAAGACGATCTACAACATTACAGAAAGCACTCAGAACCTGACATGGCATGATATGGATATCCTGCATGTGGGTCCAGAAAAGAAGATCCAATGTGTGAAAACATAGGGATCCATAACAGGTGCCACCCTGATGATTGAGGTAAGCAACAACAGTGGAATTATTGGGATGAATCATTAGGAAACAAAATCTGGTCCAATGGAGGAAATGAACCAAGGCTAAATGAACCATGAGAAGAGCCAGTATGGAGTTGAGAAGACTTCTTGGCCACAAACCAACACCTAGAAGCTTCCCAGTGATTGATCCCCATCCCTAAAGGAAGCATCTGTAAAAAGAAATTAATCCAGAGGAGGAGGAGGAAGTAGGACACCTGCCGGCATGTGGGGCCTGTCCAACCACCAATGCAGATCTTCAACTGTGGTAGGAGGAAGGGGAATAAGAGCCTGTAAAGAAACCCATGCAAGAGACCATTAGTTGTGAAGAGCTTACTGAAAAGCTCGCATAGGATCCTGACCCAAGATGAGAAGGGTAGTCATGGAAGACCACAACCCCAAAAGCGATAGAACTTCGAGAGTGGTAAGGAATGGAGCAGTAAGAGCGTGGAACTGTAAGCTCCAATGAACACATTTGAATGAGCAAAAACACGAACTACTCGACAAAAACATAGGTAGCTGAATCAAGCCCGAAGGGAATGTGCGGAGCTGAGAAATCACCCATCAGAGGACAAGCCAAAGATATGGTTGTGACAGGCAAGCAAACATTATATGAAATGAAAGAATCATGACAACCATCTGGGTCATCTGGAAGCCTGGGGAAGAAAAAAACCCGCCAGAGGGTGAGACATGACTCAAAGGGAAAATGCAGGAGATGGAGAAAAGTAATGAGATGGGACAATCTATGACAGACTGCCAGCATCAGTTGTCATGGGGACAACCAATAGCCTGGAATAAGACATATTCAAATGCCAGTTGAAACAGAAGGTCTTGAATGGCGTCTGCCCAATATTGACTGGTAAAGGGATCCCAAGGTAGAGAGAAGGAATGGGAATCTGTGAAAAATGAGGAGGGAAAAAGGATTGGAGAACAAGTCCAACTGAGAGAACCTGAATAAAAACTGACCTGAGATGAAATGGACAGTCTGCATGATGGTATGTCCAAACAAACTGATCCGTAGCCCATGGGGGCGAGGAATGCTGGTACCCACAACAACCAAATGGGAAGTGAAATGGACAGCATGAACCCTAATATCCAGGGAAAGGGATAAAACATCACATACCTGAAAAATATAGCCAAAAATGCCATAGTAGGCCTAGCTGATTCTGCAGGTGGGGCAGAGGAAGACATGGCAAAATTTGGTGGTGGAAGAAAGGCTATCAACTCTTCACCAGAACGAACAGGGTCGGATTGTTCATGAGGAAGTGGGGCAACATCAGAAGGTGTTAAGACTCACATAACGTTCAATCTACCGGTGAAAAATCGCTGGTAAATCTCATGTCAAGCTCTTTTTATAAAGTATTCCATTCAAAGTCCTTTTCAGATATGAAATGTAACCAAATTATGTTATATTATTTGTGAATATTTGTAACTCAATAGATGATTAATCCACACATCTGAAGCAACTCTCTGCTAATTCAAAAAAGTGATTACTTAATATTTACATTTTTATTTTCTCATTTCCAAGATACATCCTTTAGTATATCTGTAACTGTAAATGATTACTGCACAAGGTTCATAGACTTTACAAAATACAATTCCAGGGCTTTTTTCATGACAAATTAAGATTTCCAGACCTCTTGAATCCTGTCACACTGGATTAAACATGCATTTTTCTGTCATTTTTGTCTCAGAAGGCATAGGATTAACAATGGCTGACACAAAATATGATCAAACTCAATTATAATAATCAAATATTTTTTCTGTTTGTTTAATGGTTTTAATTAAGCCAATTATTTTATGGGACATTTTCTTTATAGAAAAACTGAAACTTTGGAACTTTACCAAGATCATGAAAGTCTAAGAGCTCATTTTCCATGAACTTGTGCAAACCCTGATGACAAAGGAATCAACCATAATAGTTAAATATTAGTGTTTAACATTTAAATAAAATATAAAAAATATAAAAGTTTACAATTTTCAAATGTACTTGCTACTGCAAGACAAATCTTTGTACCACGAATATAATTTATTAAAACTGGGTGAGTAGTAGAATTTGGTAATTGATTAATCATCGTACTCGATAATTGATTACAATCGACTAACTGCCTATTCCCACATGAAAATTGGTTAGTTGGAATATTCTAAATTATTAATAATAGGGCTGTAATTTTGATTAATTGATTATTTTTGTAAGTCATTATACTAATTGAGTAAAATCAACAATCTCAAATTAATTTGAAATAATAATAATGAGAAACTAAATGGCAATATTTTCATTACTTGAATAGTCAGAATTATCCAAAACATTAATTTTGATTATTTTACAGGATACCGATTGTAGTAATCAATGCTTATATGGATTATTCAATTTAATGGCACAGTTCTACAGTTCACTACCTGCATTCAACATTATCCTTTAATTAATACTGCCAGAGTAGAAAATTTCATTATGTAGTTTTTTTTGGTTAACCAAGAATGTTATGAAATAACTCATCTGGAAATGTCTATATCTAGCTTTAGGTGTAGAAGAAAGCTATTGTTCTTTATGTTACAATTAGTATATACCTTCTCAAACAGTTTGTTATATTTATGGTTAAGAAAAGGTAAAGATTGGAACAAAAGTTAGCAGAGTATAAATACATTAAGAATTTCAAATACCTAAAACTATAATTTTAGTTTTGAAAAAAAAAACATCATTGAGATTTTCTTATACACTACATATGATGCATTCTCCGACCTGTTACAAGAGCACTTCTCATGATGAATATTTCAAAAACTGTATTCTGTTTTAGGATTTTGAATATGTCAAAATGTTCATTTAATCAGACGTCATTCATTTTACCTGAAGTCAGAGCCAATATGAAATGAGTCGTATAAAACGAGTTTATAATACTTACAAGTAACTATTTAAATTTCTAATTTTTACATGTGGTAAACAAATATGAAATTTGAAAGATACTAAAATTAAATAATTTTCTTTTCAACTTTTACCTGTAACATTAACACAATTTACATAAGAAAACTTCTGTTATCTTACACATTAACACTGAGATCTTGAGAGTTACAGCAATAGCGAAAATTTTCAGTGCCACAACAATAAATCTCATCAAAAGTGTCTTCTGGCTGTGGACAATTGAAATACTTGGTATTTCCAAAAATATCTTTTTTGGTACAGGTAAATGATGTAACTGAAAAATAGAAAAAAATAAATATAAATTAGGGTAAAATGTTTTATATACCAGCTAGTTTGACAATTAATAAATACATGTCCTGTACATATTAAATGGTAGTTAAGAACTAAATTTTCTTTATGAACTACTAAACAGACTTTCACTTTTATTCCAAAAACATATGGTTGAGTACACTATATTAAAACAATTTATCGGAACTTCATCAATCATTATAGCCCACGTTACTACATTCAGTCAAACTCTATTTGATGACTGTGTATACTGTCAATAACCCTGACAATTGTGCCCAATGGCACATCACTCTTCCTTGCAGGTTTTTGATCATTTGTACACTTTGTTGGTGTCTGAGGATGTGTGCTTATATAAAGTTGTCCCACCCTTTGATGGCCATTTGAAATGCATATGTGGTAAATCATACCACTCATTTATATAATTGTTTTTACATTATCTGTGTTGTTCTTAGCTGGAATGAATGAAGTATGTAAATTGTGAACTTCTGAATGTTTGGTAGTGATCTGTTGTGGCCAAGGTTGCTCGGTCATGCTCAAGAAGAGACTTTGACTAAGTTGGGAATATTGTAACACTCAGGGTGGGTAGTTAAAAGTACCCGTTTGGGTCGTGGACCCTTAAAGATTAGACAAGGGAAAAGATGAATAGGAGAGTAGGCATACAGAAGAAGGTCGAACAAGTCCTGACTGAACACATCCCCAGCAAGAGCCGAGGGATGAGAAACCAGGGACCAGAAAAGAGGAAATAGGGTTTTGAGACAAATGGCACAAACCTCAAGAAGAGGAGTGCTCAGACAAGAGCACAGCTACTGGAACACAAAAGGTATGAGGGACCACTCCACAGGCAGTATCCTGTCGGGCCTGAAAAGTCAATTCATGACAAGAATCAGAGAACCCAGAATATTACAAGCTTTTAGTTGCATGTTAAAAAATAAAAGAGTGATACTGCATGCCTGCTTCCTGGCAATTGATATTGGACACAACAGCTAGTACGGTTGGATGTATCATCACTAGACATAAAAAAACCAACTTAAGAAAATGAATCTAAGTCAGACATACTGCTTAAAGCTCTAAGAGAGTGATATGAAGGGATGAATCATTTTGAGACCACTGAATGCAAATAACTTGAGAGTTGTAACACACACACACACCCATTCTCATCAGGGAGGCATCAGGAAACAGACTGAAGACAAGAGGAAGGAAGAGGAGCACCCTCTATGATAATGGTATATTAAGTCACCATTTGTAGTCACTGAGTAAGGAAGGAGGAAGGAAAATGGTGGAGGACAAAGGAACTCAAGCTAGCAACAAGCGGTAACACAGAGTCCATTTTAGATGTTGCAAATGAGCACAACTTAAGAGGATACACAAATACAAAGAAGCCCAAGTCCCTAAAAGAGAGAAAAACCTCCCCTACTTTGAGAGAAGATGATAGGGCATGGGAAACTAATCTTTCATGTCCCTTAAGCCTACAATTACAGTTATCCTTGTATTGCGCACGTCACAAGATTTTACTCTGTTACATTTAAAAATTAATTAAGCAATTCTGCTATCAATGTATAACAATGAAATTAGCATTAAAATTTACAATATAGTTCAAAGAAAGGAAATAGAGAAAGGCAAATACAGAGCACAAGAGAGAAAGCAAACCAGTGAGTGTAAGGAAGAACATTGGCATGTAGCTTCAATATATGATCCCAGAGAAACAAGTACTCTAGTAAAATCACACAGGCAGAAGAAAGGAGCCAGATGAAGGCATAAGAGAGAAAATGGATGCAAAAGGACTTGAGTAACAAGGGCATCATGCCCCAACAAACTCAAGCAACAGATCAACCAAATATTAAAGGATAAAGCAGAGGAAGGTAAACATGCCACTATAAAGAAGATAAGTGAACAAGCATCTGCCAAAACACCATCAGAGGAATGGTGGATTACCAAAGAAAGAAGGTAAATAGAAGAAAAATAACGGAAAAGTGTTGAGTGTAAAATGAAAGTGGGAAACTGAAGCCTAAGAAAATACAAATAAATGACAGAGGATCTGATCCCCAAGTCTGAAGAAAAGACTCCAGAGGTTAGGAGTTGAAGAAAGGCAATACAGCATGAAGTTAGGCCTAGTCATATAAAGTAACAAAAGGAAGGGGGATGAGGCCTGTATGCATGCACCAAAGTAGTGGTAAAAATAATTGAATATGGACTAGCATATCTGTATAGAAAGTAAAACACATAAAAGAAAGCTGGGAATAAATTACAAAGAGAAGGAATGAAACATATCTGAGAAACTTTATCCCAAAATTATGAAAAAAGTTTAGGTGGATTCAAAACAGCATGGGTAAAAGATTAAGCAAAAGAAGGTAGCGGGAAAAAAACTGGCAAAATCCTTTCCATCACAACCAAGAAACAGGTGGAAGTATGTCAGGTACAAAATAAGGCACAGGCTGCATGAACTACACCACTACTCTTCACACTAAAGCCATCACTTCTCCCAAAGACAAAGACAAATTTAATGCCAATGTGTAGAAATAAAAGGCCTCAAAATCTGCAATGTTATTTTTAGTTACTTCCACTTAAAAAATACCTATCTATGAAAAGTGCACAAGCAATAAAAAAACACATTGTTACATTGAGAAGCAATGATTATACTCTACAGTACAGAGGGAGTCAGCTGTGCTGAGTGTTTGTCGCATGCTCACTTCCATGCTACAACATAGCTATACCATGTGTAAACACATGTTAAGTGGGAGCCTCAAGGCTGGTGGCAAGCAAAAATTGAGCACACGTTGAGAAAAGCTATCGTGTGAAAAGAGGTAAGGTATAATATCAGAATATTCAAGAACATTCTATATATAAATAATACATTTTGTCACTTTTTACTTCTGGAATATTCTGTATGACATAACAGTAGTTTCTAAAATTTCTTTGAGGGTATATAAACACTTAAACAAATCTTTCTGTATCATTTCATCTGACTCTGTATCGGTATGTCATTGCAAATGGCTATTGCAACAAGAAGACTACACTTTGGCTGCTTGGTTCAGAAGAAACTAAACGAACAAGAAACAAATTACCTTCAAAGCCTTCTTTGCTTTTTTGTTTTTCTATCATCACAAAACATTAAAGAACACATTTCATGAAAACTCAAAGGTTGTGAGAAAGGAGGCTGCAGCATTTTGGAGCAAGTCTCAAATTTCGATTCATCCAGAACATCATGCCATTATCAAAATGAAAAAGCTTTTTGACAAATGGGCAAGGTTAAAGAAAATTTCAAAAAGGAAAACTGAAATACAGGGAATTAATGAAGCAGACCCTGTCAATAAGCTGGATGACTTTTTTGACATCACTTCTATGGATGCCCTGACCCAGATAAAGATCCCAGAAGACAAGGACTTTCTTCTTTCTCAGAGGGAATGAGAACATTGTGGGTGCATGAATTAGGTAGATAAGATTCATTCTGTATAGGAATCATGGGCCGAGAAAAGAAGTGAGGCCAGTATGGACAGGAACCAGCAGATCACAATAGTGATAATGAGGTTGGTGAATACAGTATCAATAACAATGATGAGGATTAAAGAACAATTAGAGAAGCATCACCTAAAACCTAAAAAAAAAAAGAAGGACAAGAAGAAGTGTTATCGCTCCCGATTTAGCAGCAGCTGATTTAGCAGCAGCTATGGGCAGAACCAAGTTGAGTGACAGAAAGCCAACATTTATACTTATTGCCACAACTCACAGCCTTGGTCATAATATACAGGAGCTAACCATCAACCATTCATTGATCAATGATCTTGACCATGTTTCTGTGAAGAAATTGTCAAAAACGTAAAGAAACAGTTCCAGCCAACAGTTTCACTAGTAATTCACTTGGTAACAAGCTCTTTAATGATCTCACAGGGAAATAACAAGTGGATCTTCTGCCAGTGTTCCTGTTTGAAGCAAGAGTAAACCAACTCTTTGGTGTTCCAAAAATGATTTCTATCACTGGAGAGGCTCAAGCTCCGGCTGTGGCAGATTTGATATAAGAATGGGGAGTCATTGATCATGTAAAAGCAGTTTGCTTTGACACAACAGCAAGCAACACTGGTCACAGAAATGGAGCACACGTAGCATTAGAACAAAGATTAAACAAGAACATTGTGTATTTCTCATGCTGGCATCATATGTCAAAACTTTCCCGTGCATGTTTTTCAAAGATTGTATAGGGCTTTCCTCTAGCCCAAATATTGCAATTTCAATTGATTTCAGCAATCTTTGGAATAAAGGGGCCAGTACAGTTATGAAACTGTAGCTGACCATGATGAAGTAGCAGAAGCTATAGAGAAAGTTAAGGACAGTGTTACTGAGTTTGGTGCTAGACTACTTCAGGTCAGCCAACCTAGAAATAATTATTGGGAGTTCTTGAACTTATTAATTGAAATTTAACCTTATGCCACGAGCAGGGTGAAGGAGGATTGTCTAATCTTCGAGCACCCTTGATTAGTAATTATTTCTTAGGAGATAATTATTTTTAAATCAAAATAACTGCCAAGAACAACAACAGTAGTTGTACGTACAAATCGCACAAGGTTATCATTCTAAATACTGAATCATATTTTTATTATGAACTAAATATAAAATTACGCTAAATTATTGAACTTAAAACTGCTGATTTAAATGCAAAAGAATATAAAAATCACAAACTCTTTCAGTCCAAAGTGCTAAGCCTAATTCATGTAAAGACCATGCACTCGCCACTCGACAGATCTTAACCTTAACATTCGTGGATCAACATCTTTCCTAAAAATATATCTATTTTGAATTTTTTCAATATAATGATTAATATAAATAGATATGTGATACACCATGACTTAAGCTACTATAGAAAAATAATAAAAGTCACATACATTCCAAGCAGTTTTTTACAGAAGCAAGTTTTCTAAGGCTTATAAAAAAGTACTATTGACCAATACTAAATACAATCTCTACATAAAATGGCAGTTACTATAATAAGCACCACCCACATTCACACTGTAAAAACCATGATGAACAATGTTTCATCATGTGCTTTGCTTATCATCCTATGATTTGTCAAATGTGAGATACAGCGATTGGAATAACATGGTACTGAAATT